ATTTGAGACAATTTGTTCCGTCAAATTGCAGAAATAGGTCGTGTATTGATCAATTATCCATTTTTGAGCCCCAAATTACTTAAAAATCTTGATTAAAAAAAACATGAAAGACGTGAATGGTCTTCTATGACCATATGCCTGGTCATTTGACAAAATGCCTGATTACACTATGCACTATGCGACGCTATGTGCACTATTCGCACTATGTGACAGATACGAAGATAAATACTCAACCTTTTTTCAGAGCGTGGTTTGTTTCCACCGAAGAAAAACACCGAAATGACAACCTGCTCAACGGAGAGAACCCTCAGGACTCTTAGTGGGGTGCTGGAGCTGGGCGGGCAAAATTAAAAATGAAAACTCTGCAATCCGTTCGAATTTGCATGGAAATTGCACACCATTTGCATAGAATTCAGGTTCGAATTTCAGTTGAGGGCGGGAAAAAAATGAAAAACGACCGGAGAATTTCAACAATTAATCTTCGATTTTAATGAAGTGAATAGGAATTATGGCCGCGGCGAAACGTTCCGGGGAAAAAGTTCGCCTATCGAAAAGCCATAGGGATCGGATACCCGCCGAGCGCGGGACTTTTATCAGTGGCAAAGCGTGAATTACCAGCCATCGATAATTTCCCATTTAAATCTATGGAAAAGAATCGATTTATAAGGAACATCCTGATAATCGATCCTTCCCCATAGGTTTAAATGGCAGATCTATCGATTTATCGCGAAGCACGATACGCTGCTGCTTTTATCTCGACAAAAATACATCTTGGCGCGGGCGGCGACTTTACGAGCCTTTTATCGCTTGTCCAAGCAAAATTGAAATCCTTTCAGCTCCACCTCGGCGCGTAATAAAACCAAAACTCCGTAGCGCTCATTAATGGTTATGAGATATGAGGGCCGCCCCCGGCCCCTCCCCTCCAACGCGCCCCGGAACATTTGCTTTTCCCTCTGCAGCCGTAATTAAATGTCTGAATCATCCCCCACTTGCCTCCGTTTCGATATCACTGGCCCGCGCAGGTGATATCGCCGCGATATCTCGAAATAGAGCGCCCTTGTAGGAAGGGCATTGCCAGGTTAGATTGAAGAGAAAACGAGCACCAGTTCCACGTCCTTTGAAGAAACGGTTTAGTGCAAATGTCTGTGGAAGTTACGTCTTTAGTGACCTTTATTTTGGGTAGGCACTACCCCTGCCAAAACTAGGGTCCATAGTCTTGCGAGAGTAGGGCAAGTGTTTTCCTAAAATTTAGACAACTACTTTTTACCTATCTCTTGAGGCAGAAGCACCAACCGCCCACTTGTCTCTATATAAGCGTTAAATTTGTGCCTACGTTTATTTTTGATCGAAAAAATGATTTTAATATGGAAGCACTATCGATTAACCCTCAGGTCCCACAAGTGGGTCTTATGTAAAGTGAAACGATGTGGGCGGAGTAGAGATTGAAAGCTATTTATAGAGGTAGATGAAGAAAAGGTGGTGAAGGAAGAAGAAAAAGAAGGAAGACATGAAGAAGAACAGAGAATAGAAAATACGCTTTCCAGCCACTGTGGGAACGAGAGGTAGATTTCGACTAATCGTTTCTATGAAAACAGTTGCGCCTAATGAGCCTGACAGGTCGGAAAATCGTCCCCCTTGAACTTGAGATTTTCTGGATAAGGGGTGGTTTTAAAGGGTAGGTGAATACAGGTTGTTTTGAAGGCCACGACGAGACGAGTTTTTTGAGGTATCACCGACTAAGATCGGACGGGTTCTAAAAATCAGCCCTCTTTGGACTTGAGATTTTCTGGATAAGGGGTGATTTTAGAGGGTAGGTGAATATAAGTTGTTTTGACAGGAGTGTGAAAGAGGGTAAAGAAGGAGCAGAAGGAGAGGAAAAAGAGGAAAACTTTATTTTTCTTCGTATTTTATTATTCCTCTTACTCTTCCTCTTCTTCTACTTCTTCCTCTTTCTCCTCTTCTTTCTCTTTATCTTCCTCCTTTCCTCCGGATTTGAGATTTTTTTTGCGGCACTATTAAGTGTAGTATTGCAAGGTTAAATTAAATATGAAAGGTCCAAGCCTGTAGCCACGCTTAAACTCTAGATCTAGAGAGAAAAGAATATCCCAAAACGAAGTTTTCACTTAAGATGGCATCACTCCTCAGGCCAGGATACACCTCTGAGTTACAAGCGCTTGGCGAAAATGAAATACCAATAGGCACGGAGGATTTCGGTAGTCAGACGTCGAGCGCTCGGAATCCTTGTTTCCTATTGGTGTTCCGCTTTCAATAAGAGCTTGTAACTCGCAGGTGTATCTGCCGCTTAAGGACGCACATGAGCACATTCTCGTTGTAAAGGTTCTCGTCCTCGAGTCGCGATACCTCGAACGGCGGGAGATCGAGAGGGGGTTTGTAATGAGTTCGGTGGCGAGTTGACTAGTCAAATATGCCGGTTTTATTACCGGAACGCTTCCGCTCAGGTGGCGAAGCCGTGCCGCGCCGCACAGTGGACCGAGTCAATCAGAGACGTCGGACATAAACTTTTTAACTAAAACTGTAAATTTTTATATTTAATTCGTCGCATTTTTAATTTTAAGGGGTGCTTCTAGCAGGATATTTCACGAGAAAACCAATGGAACCACTTTCGGAACCTCAAGGTTTTGTATAAACGGAGTTACAAGCTTTCAAAGTTTCCGAATTTTGTCCGATCTCTCGTATTGTTCCGAACCGCTGTGTGCCGCGCCGCGCTACCGAGAAGGGACCGGGCCGCCGCGTCGATTGAAATATGATCTAGCGCGCTCCTGCCTCCTGGCTCCCGCCGTATAAAAGCTAACAACGTGAAATTCTCAATTATGCTAACAGATTGTTTGAGCTAATATGCAAAGCTAACGTGTCGGCATTTCTATGCCAGGTTTGTTTGTGCTTTGCGGGCTGCGTCCCGTCCTGCCGCGGCGCAGCCGGTAAGTGGAGCCTGACAACCATCGCGATCGTCCTAGTGTTGCTGAAACGCCGTATGAATCTTCCGGACGTTGCAAAATTTCGCCCGATAAAAAATCAATTTTTGTTGAGAGTTATTAAGGATTTTTTTTTTGAAAACTACAGAGACTGTGTAGATTCGACCATGAACGAAATTTTTAGCAAAATTGGTAGGAAAATATTCGTAAGTTTCCCAAAAATTGATTTTAAATGAGATGAAATTTGGCAACTCCTGCTGGATTTTATGATGTTCTTCCTTAGTGCAACGGAGCATGTGTAACATCATTCTGTGTTCACTGAAATAGGGACGCACAAGATTACTGAGAATCTGAAGCTGCACTTGGATAATGACGCGATTACTGAGTTCTGGCCTGGACGATATTCCAACGACGCGACATATAGTGAATCTAGAGGAGGTGATAGTGATTTCAGGAATTGTATCCGTTGGTGTCATCGGATGCACGTGAAAGTTAGCTGCGGTGTACTCAGTCATTTGGACCATATTTTGCAAAAAGGAATAACTATTTTTGGCTCATTTTAGAAAGGACATATGGATTCCATTTTGCACAAAGGAGTTGAAAAACGCTGACTATGCGAGTATAAATATTAAAGCCTAACAGAGCGGAGCGGCGCGCAGCGTGCTGCCAGCGCAACACGCGCACTGGCGCCTACAAACCTAAGTGGATACTTTACGCATTGCACAATGCTTGAAGTATCCACTTAGGTTTGTAGGCGCCAATGCGCGTTTCGCGCTGGCCGCCTGCCCGCCGTACGGCGGCGCCTGAAGCAACTATTTCACAACAGAGGTGTTGCACAGTATCATACGAAATTGAACGTATTAAGAATGACAGGCATCCTTTAAAAGTACAGATCTTTCCTCGCAAAATAAATCAAGATACTTATCGCACACAGGAAAAATCTAAGAGCCTTCAGCTGAGGCAAATATAGAGGTTTATCCGGTTCAGGTATGACAAGGTGGGGATTTCTTAAAAGATAATTAAGTCATGTTACACCAAAGAGGTGTAGAGAGTTTTAGTGAATTTTGTCTTATGGAATTGACGCTCCCCCATTTTCACCAAAACTCTTAACTATATATTATTCTCCGTTGGACCAAACAGACAAAACAAAAAAACAAGCCAACCCTCATTCTTCCAAGACATTATACATTTTCATCCAGAAACGTCGTGAGTGAATGTCGTTTGTACTTACATGTGGGCCAATTAACTTTGGGTCTCAACTGGCACGTGGACCGAAACTCCCGTGCCGAAAAAACGCGTGGACAAAAAATCGTCGACGATATGTCCTATAGCCAATTTTGGAAATAATGATGTCCCTCCAAAAATTTTGGAAATCGTACTTCCAACTGGGGATTGGAGGCTGAAAAAAACTATATAAAGGATCCCAAGGCACTACTAGCTGTAGTTTGTCAAACGGGTCATGTAGTTTGTCCAACGGTCCAAATACTAAACTTGATCCCAAAAAATGTGTTTCAACTCTTTCAACATACTCCTGCAATCTGGTGATTAAACCAAGGGCATAGTTTCTTGACGTAAAATATGTCGTGATAATTTCAAGCTACGGTGCCAATTCGTTCTTCTTTGATAAAATATAATGGGGAGGGGTGATTTTGAAACAACGTGAATGAGATACGCGTTTTTTCACCTTTGCCGTCCATTTGTGGAATAAACAATAAAGCACAGCGGTGCCGAGTCAAGGAAGAACGCCGTATGAACATTCGAGAGTTGCCAAATTTCCTTCCATAAAATGTTCATTTTTGAGGAAAGTTATGATAATTTTTCCTTAAAATTTGCAGAATCTTTAGGTAAAATTGTGAACTAAATTATCTGAAAAATTTCAAGGGAAATATTCATAAATGTACCACGAAATTCGCATTTTATGAAAGGAAATTTGGCAACGCTTGAAGGTTCATACGGCGTTTTTCCTTAGCACGGCAGAGCGGGTCACTGACCCATTAATTCTGCCTGATGTATCTAATCTTCTCTTTTGTCGGTGTTATTTATTCGGGCCTTGTTGTTTGTTCGCAGGACTACCTCGTGTGGATTTTTCAAACACCGCCAACACAATTAACAGCACGAACTTGTTCCCGTATTTCGATTTGAACGTCGAGAGGAACGTGACGACTGCCGTGGGTCAAACGGCTTTTTTACACTGTAGAGTGGAGCATCTAGGCGATAAATCGGTGAGTGCTTTTCAAAACTACTATCCCAACTTTACGTTCGTCTCATCAATTAACGTCAAGTGGCATCCTCTAGGCAGGATAACGAGGGTTGCCATCAGGAAGGAGACAAGGAACTGTCGGGGAATTTTTTCCGATTTGCAGTACTGCCATTTCCCGGAACTTTTTAGAATTTTTTTTTAGAAATTTGTGAGGTACCCCCGCCCCCCTACCCCGAAGGGATCAAAAACTGGAAAGTATCTAAAAAAGTTTCCCCCTCGATATGAGGAAAAACGTCTTAAACCGCGAATCGATATCATAATTAGAACTAAAGTCATGGCTAGTGGTGCGTGACTTTTGAATGACCCTGTATCTAACTGTTCATTCCCGAAAGTTATGGAATTTACCTCAAATTGATCCAAAAGGTCACAGGGAAAAGGAAAAAGTAGTAAGGGCTCTACATTCTTTCCGTTGCCGTCAGTACTATACAGAGGGCCTGCAAGTACCCTCTGGTTTTAATCGACCGATGATCTCTAACACCAAATAATACAGATCCTTGATGTAAAGTCTGTGACGAATTGGACACCCTGTGCTTAAACTTACAATCCCTCCCAAGAGACACTATTTTACGAACTTGGATTGAAACTTCCGGAAGAATGCCTCCAAGAGTTGCAGGTGTCGAATTCGCCCTTTTTGAGCTTTGCGCTTTCCCTATTTTGACGGCGGTTTCCCCCTTCTTCCTCTCCATCCCTCTCTCCTGTGAAGTTCAAACCGAACATTACCAGGTATTTGGGAACTGAGTGTCGGTATCAAGAAAATTACTTTGAAGGGGTTTAATTTTAAACACCCGATATTTAGGATCTTCAAACTAAATACTCCTCTATAAATTGGCCATGAACTGTTCTCTCGACCCATTTTTCATCTTTTTTCTCAAAAATTTGTGCGTTATCGACATAATTCACATTACCCTATCGGGTGGGTTCACACTGACCCTTGAGGGTTCCCATGAGAGGCCTGCCAATTTTGAAACAAACCGAGTGACACTGACTTTCAATTGGACGTATTTGAATCCGTGAGAACGGAAACACACCAACTCGAAAAAATGAAAATAATCAAGACACACACAAAACTGCTTATTAGGTGAAGAAGTTAGTCTAAGAAAACGATTTTTGGTGCCTAAAAGCAAGTACTTAAGGAAAATTTAAATGTCTAAGTTGGAACAGATACGGTAACTTATTCAATGACCTTTACGAAAATTGTCTGTCCTTCGTGAAAAGTGAGCATTTTCGAGGCACCGAGTTGGTGTGTTTTCGTTCTCATTGATTCATATATGCTAAAAGGAACTATATTACATGCAAATCCTATGCACATAGTTCCTTTTAGCATAAAAACGTCCAATTTTTCCCTATAAATATTACACGATACGATATTTCGGAGTGAAAACGAAATCCGAGAATCACCACACCATGTGAACTGAGGAACCTGCTCTTTGTTTGGAGTGGAATTCGCTCTCGCAGAGCTGGAGTATCACTTTTCGCAAAGTAACCATCACTTTTATGTAAGTAGCGGATATCTCTATTGATATTAACATCAGTACTGCCGTGCTAAGGAAGAACGCCGTATTAACATTCGAGAGTTGCCAAATTTCCCCGAATAAAATATGCATTTTTGACGAACTCAATGCATATTTTTCCTTGAAATTTTTAGATATTTTAGATTAAATTGCAGACGAAATAGTCTGAAAAGTTGGAAGAAAAATATTTACAATTTCCCCCAAGAAATTCGTATTTTATCTGAGGAAATTTGGCAACGCCTGACGGTTCATACGTCGTTTTTCCTTAGCACGGCAGAATGGAGGCTCCGAAATCCAAATTGGATCCGAACAGCAACAAGCTCCGGAGTGAAATTCCGAATTTCACTCCAAGAATTCTAAACGTATACTTGACAACAGTGTTGCAGGAAATGCGAATCCATAGACTCATAGACCCATAGACTAGTGGCAACTGGTGAGGCAGCTATTTATGCTTATTGCCCCCCGTGCCCCCCTCTCCTACCTCACCCCACCCTCAAACATCATCGACGTCACGGTCCATGAAAACGCACCTTCCCAGATCTTGGTACGGAAACGTGTCGGAGAGAGCCTACCTGGAGGCAATGACGTCACGGTGATGGGGCGGGAAGAGCAGTGGGGAGGGGGTTTAGGGTAGGACGGCGGGGACGCGAGGTTCGTGACTCTCCGTCCACCTGGCCAATTATTCGCCGCGGCGACCTCAGGGCCCGAGGGGGGCGCTAAGGGAAGGGCGGGGGTGGCGCGGGGGCCCCGGCCAATTCTGCACATCTGGGGGTCGTCGGATGTGACACGAGGTTGCCGCCCTTGCACTACCAGTACATTTTTGGGAGAGCTAGTTGGGAGTGGTGGGTATTATGGTACGTTAAATGAGCTCTATTATTTTATTTTATTTTTTTTTTTAAAAAAAGAGAAAAAAGACGATTAAAAGGGTTGATTGGTTTTAATTATAGTACGTCCAGGTTTTAGTTTTAGCATGCCCTTTTTAGTATGACTCGCGCCTTCAAAACAGTACACAGAGTTTAAGCAGTTTAGAGATGTTTTCTCTTTTAGTGAGAATGCACGTAAATTGTAGGCATAATTGTAACTGAACTTTCAGGTCGGGAAATTTACGAAAACGAACGAACAATTTTTTTTAAAAAATACTTAATTTTTATGGGATAAAAATTATTTGTTTTCAAAGAATTGAAAGTCTTAAAAAATGTAAGTTTAGTTGTAAGTTTTACTTGAAATCACTGGACGAGGCGGCGGCATATATGTTTAAGCGGCGAGAGGATCGTTCGGATGGGGTATCCTCAGGTGAAATATCCCCAAAAATCGCGACAAACGAATTTTCCTCTCGTAGGGGTTCTATCCCACTGGACCCTCTTCTCGGTTTGATTTGATCTTATTTGTCGAGATAATGCTGAGTGACAGTAAAGAATCGAAGTCAAAACTTCGCCGAAAAATCAAGTGCCAGGAACGGAAATAGGGAGGTTCTTGGGACGTTCCCAGTGGTTCTTTCAGAACCAAGTTATTATCGTGTAAAGTACCTATACATATAAGGAGAGTATAGACAACTCAAAATATGTAGTTCTTAGGGGCCAAAAGGACTGTCACTGTCAATCTTTAGACTCTGATATCAAACGAAAATGGACAAAAAAATTCATAAGGAAGCATTCTTCCGTAAAAATGAGTAAGTTTATGCAAAAACCAAGTCAAATACGTGCTTCACCATCGACAATTCCCAACAATTGTGATCAAAAATCACTCTGGATAATTTGAATTCATAGATTGCCAACCCTTTTGGGGTCTAGAGCTCCATCACCTAACCTCAAAATTTTCGACTTGTCCCTACTCTCCCTATATAGGTACTCTATTACCGTGTGTTAGTAAAAATAAATGAACAAATTTCGAAGAAAAAATGGAGATCCTTGATTGAAATTCAAACTTGGCGACGACGCGGAGCACCCGATCGGATTTGCTTACTCAATAGGGGTTTCGTTGCCGCTGTTTCGGATGACTTGGGATGGATTGCGGACAGAATTCACCCGGACGAGTGAATAGCAAGCACCGAGAGGGGGGGGGACGAAGGGCGGGGAAGGGGCTGACGGCAGCATCCAAATTTGCTGACAGCTCCCGACACTTAGTCACAGGCGCCGCTTCGCTGCCGGGGGCCCCGAGGGCGGAGGGGCGGGGGCGGCGGGGGGCGCTCGGGGGCTATTGTACCGCGTCACCAGTTGTGCTCGGTGCGCCAAAGGCCACATTACTAACCTTTGTTTCTTCACCTAAATAGGTGGGCAAATAGCCTTGCGTGTGCACTCCGGGAGCGCTCAAACGGATTCGGCTCCGTTTCAAGATGGCGATGGTGCACGTCAGCCGATTGATGGATTTTAAATTGGACTCGTTTTCTAACTGCTGGTGGAACGGTGGTCTAATTCTGAAGGATGGGATTCACTCTCATGTGGTTTTATAATAATAATACGAGGAATTGTAAAAACTTCAGTTGAGTTTAGCTACGGCTTGCGGATATGAGTAATGTTGAGGGTTACTAGAGGCCTCGATAGACGATCAAATTCCCGAACCAATTCCGATCAAAGTAGCATCAAAGTGTCGGGAGTCATCAGTCTTAAACTCATTAATTTGCTTCATTTTAAAATGAAAACTTGGCAGAAATGTTTCCTGTGGCAGGAAATGATGAATGGAGGCACTCCGTTCTGATCTTACTTTGAACATAAAAGTGCGGCCCGTCAAAGTTTGATGGTAGATGGTGACCACCAGTCATCAGCATGTCTACTTTGATCGGAATTGGTTCGGAATTTGATCGTCTATGCAGGGCTTCAATTCCTGATCATATGTTGAATTGCGTCAATCAGACGGAAACCAACGCAATGGAGATGTTGCATGTGTGAGGAATTTGCGATTTGACTGTTGATTTTTATGCAAGAGTTCGCGAGAAACACGATGGTGCCACTGATTTTCTCTGAAATCAACTCCCAAGCTCAAGAAAAGCTCTCAAGTTGAGGCAAACATGGAGGGGGTATCCCACGCTATCCTGAGAGTCCACGTCTACATCAAGACGAATTCTCCGTGCAAAGAATGGGAGTAAATACATTGACAGGACTGCCACTTTATTTGGGTACTTTAAAACTGAAAACACGACAACCCTGCTAATGTATTTGCTCCCTATATTTGTATGGAAAGTTTGTTTTGATTTAGAAGTGGACTCTCAGGATAGCGTGGGATATCACCTCCATTTTGCTCTTAACTTGAGAGCTTTTTTTGAGCTTGGGAGTTGATTTCAGTGAAAACCAGTGGCACCATCGTGTTTCTCGCGAACTTTTACATAAGAATCAACAATCAAATCGCAAATTCCTCTCGCACGCAACATCTCCATTTTAAAGCATCTTATATCGTCACATTCCGAGCAAAGTATCACGAGCACCATGCAACGTTTCAGAATTCCCGCTGCCATTTT